CAAAAAAACAAAAAAACGGCAGTCTGTGAGGAACCCTGAAAAGCCCCTGGCTGAGAGTGTGTGTGTGTGTGTGTGTGTGTGTGTGTGTGTGTGTGTGTGTGTGTGTGTGTGCGCTCGCGCGCGCAAGCTGCTGAACAGGCCAGCCTTCCCCAGCCCTACCACAGCTCTCAACCTGCAGAATCAGGAAATAGGTGGTTGGGTCAGAGGTTTCCCAGCCTTTCACACAGACCGGATATCCCAGACCCACATGTGGATACCAATGCTACCCTCACAGGGCTCTCTGTGTTTGTCAGCCTTGTGTCACTCTGACAATATAGCCAACATGAATAACTTAAAGGAGGAATTTTTATTTTGGCTCCATTTCATGATTCTGTCCATGGCTCTGTTGCTTGGGGCCTATAGTGAGGCACAGCATCATGGTGGGAGCATGTGGTGGTGTGAGACTGTTCAAACTCATGGTGAACAGGAAAGAGAGAACACAAGACACATTACAAGTACCCACTCCCTCCAACCAGGCCCACCTAAAGTTTCAAGACCTCCCCAAATGACACTTCTACCTGGGAACAAAGCTCTCATTCTGTGAGCCCTTGATGGGGAGAACTCATATCCCACTGTAACTACCCTGGGAGCTTCATTCACAGACTTGGATTCTACACAAGAGAAAGCCTAGACACAGCCTCCTCCTTTTCTTTATCAAAACATTAAATGGCTTTAACGATTCCATGAACTTTATTGACAGGGCTTTAGAATTCTTTTGTTACTGGATAAATAGAAATGATGAAATTCCTAGGCAGAAGCTACTTGGATTGAGATGTGTGTGTGTACACACATATGTGTATGTGTGTGAGTGTGCACATAAACATGCACACATCCCTGCCCATTGTATTCTTTCTAGTTCTTAGTTATTATATTTTATTATCTGCATCTCCCAACCGTCCTCCACTTCCTACTTCCCTTTACTCCCTCTCCCCTCTCCTTTCTTTCACTCCTGCCCACTCCCCCACACATGGTCTCAGGTCTCAATATGTAGCCCAGGCTGACCTGAAACTTACAATCCTCCTGCCTATGTGCTGGGATTATGTGCCACCACACCTGATTCAGAGTCTCAGATGCTTAACTTTCATTAAGAATGAGCAGCAAGTGCTAGTTTGAGGTGAGGATGAATCAGGCATTCTTCTTCCTAGGGCTTCCCTCACCTCCTGGGTTGCTTGAATCTCCAGCTTTATTATGACTAATACACTTGTGTGCACTCTAGCACTATTCTTGGTTCATCTCCGGAAGGGAGGAAATAGATGAAGAGGCTGTTAGCATTTGATTAGTTCAGCATGCCAGCACCATGATCTAGGAATGTCAGAAGAGAGACCACAAGGTAGGCCAATGAACCCATCCCAGCTGAGCCAAACACACCACCCAGCACTGTCCACCTGCACCCTGCAGGGTCAAGTTGAATTGCACCTGTCAGTCCAGGCTACAGTGAGCAGTCCTGGCTGCCTTTGGGAGACAAGGAGGTAGAGACACAGGCCCCAGATGTAGAGGAGGCCCAGTGCTAGGCATCGGAACAGGAGATCTCCTTCAAAGAATGTGACCCCTTGGTCACTAAGATCCAGGGGTGTTTTAAAAAGAAGTAGATGATGAGACAGTTTGCCCATGGAGGAAAGTTCCCTCTTGGGAGGGCACTCACAAAATTAGCTCTTCAGCCCTATTCACATAAGATGGTCCTTGTTTGTGGAGTTGGTTCTCTCCTTCTGCTTTTACATGGGTTCTGGGGATTTAGCATAGGTTGCCAGGCTTTCAAACAAATGCTTCTGCATGCTGAGCCATCCATCCAGCCATAAAATGTTATGTATATATTTATTTATGTGATGCTGGGAATCAAATCCAAGGCCCTGTACATTTGGATAAGTGCTGTCTCTCTGAGATCTATTCCCAGATCCTGTTTTTTGTTTATTTTGTTTTGTTTTTGAAACAAGGTCTCACTATGAAGCCCAAGCTGATCCTCCTGCCTCAACCTCCTGAGTACTGGGGTTGCAAGTGTGTCTAACACACCCGGCTTACACTGGCTTTTTCTGAAACCTCTGCCTGCATGGCATTGACTATCTGGACTGCTTTTGTTTATATGTTGTATGGGATGTCTTTTTCTGGGTGACAGACCCCTAGCCATCCATCAACTCATCCATCACTGCATCCATCTTCCTAGCAGTTTGTGACAATGAGGAGGTACAAAAGAGGACTGAAGTCTTTGATTTTCTCTGCTGGTGATGGCCAGAGGCAGAGTGACCAGATTTTTCTAGGGCAGGAGGGAAGACTTGAAAATTAAGATCTGTAGGCTGCTGGCCGGTGGTGGTGCATGCCTTTAATCCCAGCACTTGGGAGGCAGAGACAGGTGAATCTGTTTGAGTTCGAGGCCAGCCTGGTCTCCAAAGCGAGTTCCAGGAAAGGTGCAAAGTTACACAGAGAAACCCTGTCTCGAAAAAACCAAAAAAAAAAAAAAAAAAAGATTTGAAGGAGGTCCTGGATGGACTTCGTAGCCAGGGTTAAGGCTGTGAAAAGAAATAGCAGCTCTGGAAAGATTGGACACAGGGAGAGCCTGACTTCTTCTCAGTCCACAGTGTGAGCCAGCACCAGTCCACACCTGAGCAGCTAGAGTCATGGAGCTTCTGATTGGATCATCTCTTCAGCTCCTCTTTTATAAAGGAGAGGAGAGGCACAGAACGTGAATTCTAGGACATACACAGTTGCAGACAGAGCAAACTAGATTATAGAGTAGGGGAAATGCTTTGGACAAAAAAAAAGGTTGATCAAGTTACATCATGACTAGATATGCACCTGGAGGCCAGTATACCACACTCATGCATCAATGTTTACTGATGCACTAGCCACAATTACAAAGATACAAAACTAGCCCGAGTTCTCAGACTAAAGAAAATGGGGTTATACATACACATTAGAATTTTATTCAGATGAAATTATATTTTCAGGAAAGTATATGGAATTGGCAGCCATTGTGTTAAGCAAAATAAGCCAGACTCAGAAAGACAAGTATTATGTCTTTATGTCCTTCTAGATTTAAAACTCTGTGTGTGTGTATGTGTGTGTATGTGTGTGTGTGTGTGTGTGTGTGTGTGTGTGTGTGTGTGTGTTTCCATGTGTGATGAAAATAGAAGGGGTGCTATTAGGAAAGGAGACCAGCAGGAGTGGGGACTAGGGTGAGGTATGATAATGGGGCTGTACATGAGCAAAGTACATGATGAAGACATGTATGGTGAAGTCTTGATGAAATCTATTATTTTGGATGCTAATTAAATGAATGAATCAAAAAAAACTAATTACAACACAAGGCTTAGGAAACATCAGAAGGCAGAAAGATTGTTGGAGTCAGAGGACCAGGATGCCTGCCTAAGGGTGTGTCTTCTATATAGAGTAAGGAACTACACTCATGAAATCTCAACAATATGGCTGCTTAAACAAGCCCTGCACAATGGCAACACCAGTTGACACTAACAGAGATAGGAAATTAATGACTTCTAGGAGAGGGAGGGAGAATCAGTCTTCACCAAGGATGAGCCCACTAACAGCTATCCAATCTCAAGTGGTCAGCCCTAAACATATACACATATGAACAACAAGAAATGGACTCAGCAGCGCTCTCTCTCTCTCTCTCTCTCTCTCTCTCTCTCTCTCTCTCTCTCTCTCTCTCTCACACACACACACACACACACACACACACACAAGGATAGTAATAATGAAAGAAGTCATGAATTTGAGAGGAGGAAGTGGGTGGGCTACAATAGAGGAGTTGGAGGGAGAGAAGGGAGGGGTAGAAATGATATAAATTCATAATTATATAATGCGTCATATATTAAATTCTAAAAAAAGACTAATATCAAAAACTAAAAGGAAAGAAAAGGATTGACAGTATTTCTACCCATTAAGCTTGATAGTACTACAAACATTCAGGCCCAGCCTTGTTGGAGAAGCCCTCATCTGACCTAATGGAGACAAGAGGGACACAGCTGCCCTAGTAGCAGCTAGGGCAGACAGCTTTGCAAAGTCTCCACACTCTCTGTAAATGTGGTGTCGACCAAAGAAGAGCCTCCCACAACCCTCCTGGGTGTAGGATTGCACCCCAGCCTGCTGGGAGTTCAGGGGAAATATACAGGAAAGCAGTCAGCAGTGGTGTGCTCCAGGATCCCATTCAGCAGTAATGTCTCCCAGCACTAAGGCAAAGGAGCAGGGAAGCCCAGCAGAAGCAGGATATTTTGCAGCTCAAGAGCCCAGGGCTCTTGGAAGGGCTTTTCCTGGCTCCACAGGGAGGTCTTTGCAACATCTGGACACTTTGAGAACAGGCAAGAAGCCAAGCAGTGGCCCAGAGGAGGCAGGATGAAGACATGCATAGGGTTAGTGCCCAGAGGAAGACAAGGCACTCAGGCACTGGAGAAAGAGGTGGATGTGACACAGTGTGGGGCCATATATGTGGGATCTTAGGTATCCACCCATAACAGCCTGTGATTACTAAGTTCCCCACCTCAAAAAGTAGCTTGACAGCTTGGTTATGGAAGGAAGACTCACACACAGAAACCACCTAAAACAGGACCTGTGTGGATGCTGAGTTGTGCCATCTAGGCAGGAGTTTGGAGAGGTTGCATGGAAGCTGGAACTGTGTGTGGATGTGGCATCTTCGTAGAGGAGGTGGGGGAGGTGATCCTTCATTTCCAGGACACTTGGAAGAATTGTACTGAAGACAAAAGAAGCTGGTTGTCTTTAGTGAAATAAAACAATGACTTGGACTTCTGAACTACAGTCTAGCACATCGACCTCAGGGCAAAGGCACTTATGTCTGACCACAGTTGGCCCCATCCTTAAGCTGAAGCAGCCATGGCAGCCTCCAGCTGGCTACTGTGGTTTCAGAAGCCCGGGGAAGCCTCCCTTGGCTCTGGTCTGCCTCAGGGTTCCAGGTTATCAGGAATCCAGTTAACTGTCTGTTTTCTCTTTACCTGTAGGTACTGGCCCTGGCTACAGCGCAGACCCTCTGCTGTCTCTGCTCTTGTTAGCACTGCATAAGTTCCTGCACCCACTGCTGGGGCACTGACAGCCATAAAACCTCAGTAGGCACCCTGGGAGGACACCTTGCCACATGGACACAGGGACCAAGGGAAGCATGAAGAAGTCCATGCAGAAATAAATAAATCATATTTTTGGGGAAGTAATACAAATTTAGAAGACTTAAAATAACGCATCAAGTTTCCAAATAGGATGGAGTGCAGGCCGTGCAGTGTGCATGGGGTGCTGAGTACTCCACGGCCATGTACAATATATTTTTCTTTCCTTCACATTCCCTCCGAATCTTCATTTTGCACGAACTGTTGAGCAGGTACTTTGAGGATAATATGTAAAAAAAATGTCGGGTCAAAGCCTTTCTGACAAAGTAAAATATTTTTAGGAGATTATTGTGTTTAGAAATTTTTTTGAATTTACATTTTCTTTGGGGGCTTTTCCTTTATTAAATTATTTCTTTGGAGACATTTTGATTAAAAAGAAACATCATAATTAAAACTCACTGTCAATATTTATTTTTAAATAAAGATTGGAAACAAGGGTATAGTTGTTTATAAACTGTACTGTATATTACTGAATAACAGTTGAATAAAAAAAAAGCCTTTTAAATAGACTTTCTAAAACTATGTATGACTGTCAAGATTAAGTGCCTGCTGCAGCCAGACACTGTAACCTCCTCTTCACAGACACCACTTGAATGTCTCCTGCATGGAAGACAGTCCAGGATACCTGTCTAGGCCTCAGTGAGCAGACAAGAGTACCTGCCAGCCAGCCAAGGGACAAGGAACTTCCCAGAAGTAAGAATGAATCCTGAAAGAGAGAGCTACTGTGTAAGCCAAGAGCCAGCCTTCTCCTCTGGCCTTCAGTAGATCTGTGGTGCACTTACCTACTGTGAGCTTATAGACCAACCTGTACTGATCCTAGTTTTAGTGATCCTCAAAATGAGAGATGGATAGTCACCTGTACTCTCTTATCTTGTATCTACAGATGGCTTTTAGCTTCTGAAAGCTGTGAGATTGAGGGTAGGTTGCTTGTCTCAGAGACACTGATATGCCCTGGTAGCTATTTATTACTCATTTCATGACAGAATTCCATTAAATACCCAGACCTGTTGTTTGTTTAAAATATAGCCAGACTTTTACAACTGTTGTTTATTTGGGGGTTTTGAGTTTTGGATTGGTTTGTTTGTTTGAATGTCATGTTTTCTTCAAATGAAAAGATCGCACACCTAGGCTAGCCTGAAACTCCCATGTAGCACAGGCTGGCCTTGAACTTGTAAGCCTCTTTTGCCTCCTAAATGCTAGGAATATAGGTGTGAGGCACTGTGCTTGGTTTAACTTACGGTTCAAATATGTGTAGTTTTCAGTATTACTTACCAAATTCTTCCTGTCTCCTCTGATTCAGCATGTATTGTCAACATTTTCTAGCATCCAATGGCAGGTGGGGCCACAGCACCCAGCACCCACAGGAAGAATGGGTTGGTTCAAGATACTTGTTTGCGGATGGAAGGCTCTCTGAAGCACTCTCCTCCAATATGACAACAGGAACATTCAAAATAGCAAAACACACACCCACACCCACACACCCACACACACACACACACACACACACACACACACACACACACACACACACACACAGAGTTACTGGACACTAATAACTGATAAGCAGCACCTCATCTGCTGGGCAGTAGTGATAGACATAGGGTTTGATGAGCTTACTTATTCCAACTCAGTGACTTTTGGGGGGTCTGCTTTTTACCTTACTACAATCCTGCCTATCTTGACAAGTTCAGCATCTAAATAATCAATTGCTTAGTTAAGAGAAAAGATAAATCTCATGTTTGGAAAGTCCCACACATGCAGAGACCCTGGCATGAAGCTGATACACTGGATGCTATGTGAAGAAATCCTCAGTACCACTGTTTCTGGTGGATGCATCAGGCTGTTCCACCTTTCATTTTTATTGATCAACACTAACTGAGATGAAATTTAACCCTTTTGCCTGGTGGATAGTGATTCTGCCCAGAAAGATCATTTGTTTTCATAGTGAACTCGACACAGCACTTGGGTAATATCACTCTCTACATCTTAGCCCTCTGTACTTGGGAAGAAAAAAAGGCATTTCCCAGGTTACAGGCTGAATAGAGACATGTGTTAGAGATAGGGTGATGTGCCAGATGACCAGTGCAGGGGTTGGGCTGCAGAAAATCTGCCCCCATCAACAAAGCCAGATCCTGCTGCACACATGAAGTAAGCCAAGTCCCTGCTGAGTTCCCACTCTCGTGTAATGGGCATGAGAAAGAGAGGTAGGTGGCCTGTGGAGACACTACTCTCCTGGGCTCTCAAAGCACCCTAGAGATATGGTGATCGATGCCTTTAATCCTACTACTCAAGAGGCTAAGAAAGGAGAGTTCCAGGCCAGCCAGAATCACATGGTGAGACCCTGTCTCAAAAAAAACAGACCACCACCAACAATAAAAAAGTGGCACCTGGAACAGAAAGAAGGATAAATACTTCATCTTCTAGCATGGGGGACAACCTGGACACCTGGCCAAGGCTATAGCAAGTCAACAGGAACAATTGTTGGATGCTCTAAGAACTAAATGACATGAATATGGAGGAAGTGCACTCTGACAACAGGACAAAAGAGCTCACACAGAAGCTCTGGCCAAGCAGGAAGCAAAAGCGAAGCCCCCTGGCCCTGGGCCCTGTATGTTGGGTCCTACTGATTCACCACAGACACAAAGGGAGAAGTGTGCACCTGTAGGTTCACAGTGCAGACTTGTGAGCTGTGCCCCTCCTGCATCTTTCCAGGAAGACAGAATCACAACCTGTACTGAAATGGACATTAAGCACACAAACCTGGAAAGACAAGCATCCACCCAAACTGGAAATCCACAAAACTCACTGCCAAACCCCCTGTCCTCTTCATATTTGGTTTCAGACATAGACAGGCATGAGTAGGGTCCAAGGACAAGATGACTTATTTCTATGTGACAAGCACACATTGGGTTGTGGGGTGCTCTGGTCCCAACCTATAAACAGCACCCAATCTTCTTGGTTTTCAGGGTCCAACTGGAACCCTGGAGGTTGGTTTGACAATTACTTTATAATTAGAGCTGGAGGAAGAACGAGAACCACAGGTTGAGCCTGGGAGAAGAAGCAAATAAGAGAAGCATGGGGAGGTCTCCATGCCCTAGGCCTGGGGGAAGTCCTGAATTCTGCAATCCTGATAAAGGTTGCATGCTGGTTGGTAGTACCTCCCAAGGGCCAACTTACTCCTGTTCTTAGGCAGTAATCAGTCTTTAAAAGCTTGTCCGTGGCAGGGAGAACAGAAATTCTTCGAGTGATATGATCAAATACAGTAACATTCCAAATTCTACTCTCACCCTAAGTCCATGCTCCTAGATGCAGCTCTGACCCAGAGAACATAGTGCTGCAGGTTGCAGGAATATATCATAAGAACTCAGCTGGTTATGGCAAAGTCACTACCTGGAGGAATCAGGGAATTCCTCCAGAGGAAGCCAAATCCCAAGGAGTTTTTGGCGTTACTTGGCTTGTTATATATAAGCTGTCTTCTGTTATGAAAATCATGTGTGCCTTCATAGTTTTCCCAGTTGACTTTTCCCTGAGAAGGACTAACAGTGTGGACTGATCACTCTCTGGACATACACATTCCAGGTATTTGGAGAACAGCCTCAGGAAAGGCTTTCTCTGAAATCAGATTATCTCCCTTAGCCACTTTCAAGGACTACAGGAAACACCACCCAGGTGGGCGCCCAACTTCTGAGGATAACAATGATAACAGCCCACATGCAAGTCTCCTGACTTAAAATCCACAAGGAGACACCGCCCAGGTGGGCACCCAACTTTGGAGGACTAACAATGATAGCAGCCCACAGGCAAGTCTCCTGATTTAAGGTAAATTCCACAAGTAGACACCGCCTAGGAGAGGTGGACGTTAAGTAATAGCTTTACACAATTTAGCTCAGACCCTCCCTTCATATACCGGGACTTCCAGGGCATGGGATGGAGAAGAGAAAAGAGAATGGAAAAACTAGATGGGTAAGAATTTGAGAGGAACAAACTGAGATGGGGAAGAACTAGATTGAAGGGCTAGAAGAGAGGACTAGAGGAACGAGATAGAAGGTGAGGAAGAGTCAGATGGGGAAGAACAAGATGAGGAAGAAGGAAATGAGAGAGGAGGAGATGGGAGAGGAGCTGATAAGGGAAGGAACAAGATGGATGAGAACCTAGAAGGGGCAGAACTAGATGAAGGAATTAAGATAGAAACTAGAGGGGACCGCAGATAAATGTAGAGAGAAATCAGGCTAGAAATGAACTAAATATGAGAGCAGAATATAAGCTTGTAACTGACACAGAATAATAAAGTATATGGACTAAGGAGTTTCATGTACATAGATTCATTTCTTCTCATCAAAGATTAATTATCAGCTGGTTGTAGATTCTTCCCGGACCTGGGAGGGGACTATCGAGGGGCTGGACCCCCATAGTGGCCAATAACATAGGGTCTGCCTCACCTGTACAAGGTGAGCTTTGGTTCAAATACGATAAACAGAGCCACATGGGGGCTACTGTGCTCAGATCTAATGGGCTTCTGATGCTTCTGGATGAGGCCTAACCCCTGTGGCTTTGCTAGGAACCCTCCCCATATTACATTTGTTGACAATGAACGCTCTCATTCCACCAGCATTTCCGAAGGACATGGCAAGAGGCTCAGCATAGCTACATAGTTCATGTATCTGCACTGTGCTCATGTACACATCTGCACAGGGAAATTCCAGCCAGCCTGAATGCCCAGACTTTGTGCAGTCACACTGCTGCCCTGCATGGATCCCTGCTGTCCTCAGCCAAGAACCAAGACAATCCACTAAGAATAAGAGAATGCCTTTACTAGAATAAGAGAAAGACCTTTATTAGAGATCTGCCCATTTTGTGGCTGCAGGCACAACATGAGGCAAAGTATAGAAACACCAACAGTAGAGAGCTCTTTTAAATAGCAGAGACCCATAGGCACCAAAAGCAAATTTCAAGTAAGAAAAATACATGACTTCACACCAAGTCAAATCTACCACCATCAAAGGAAAAAAAAAAAAAACCCTAACCCCCCCCCAAAAAAAAAAATCCACACCAACCACGACCAAACAACAACAAAACAACCAGGAGTTCAATGTTGCCTGCACTCAATGTTTTCCAAGAGTTGAAATGAGAAAACTCTTAGAAGAAAACACAGATGGTATTCAGGAGTCTGAGGCAGGAGGATCTAAATTTTGAGGCCAGCCTAGGCTACATAGTAAGACTCTGTATCAGAAACATAAAAAAGAAAAGAAGAAGAATTGCTTATAAGTAAATAGTTTGTTTATTGTTTTTTGTATATATTCATTTTATTTAGTAATTGAATATTACATTTATTGTGTTGATTGATACTAATATTTTTTTAATTTTATAATTTGATTTAATTTTACATATCAGCCACGGGGGAGAGGAGGGGAGCGGGAGGAGGGAGGACAGGGGAATCCGTGGCTGTTTATTGTTTTTGAGACAAGCCTAGGCTGGCCTCAAACTTGAAATGATCCTTCTGTCTCAGGCT